TATAAGCCTTCTGGCTATTAACGCGCCTTAGGAGATGCCGACAGCTGCTCTGTTGGATAATTAGAAGAGCGGGGCGTCCGCAAGCTCCTCCGACAAGCCCCGGCGCCGAGTCCTTATTAAAGGGAGTGATGCACAGTCGCTAGCCGTCCGGCTTCAAAGGCGACTTTAAATCGGCGAGCAGCCACTCCAGCCAATAGCAAAGCTGCTAGGCTAAGGCCTTTTAAACGCAGCAATCTCCCGCGCTGGAGAAGCCCAGCTAAGGGGCGCGAAGCCGCCGCAATCACCAGCGGCAATTGTGAGTAGGTCAATTGAGGAAAAGTCAGTTTTAAGGCAATCAAACCTGGAAAGTCCTGAGAGGAATTAAATTTCAAACCAGATAAAGCGATCAGAGGCTGAAGACACATCTAGTCACGCGTAGACCGAGCCGAAGAACTGGGGCTACTGGAAGGGCAGAGCCTTTAATTATTGCAAGACTCGGTCATACGCTAGACGAGGCGTATCCCCAGCCTGACTGACGCTTTCTGGTAAACTGGAGAATAACTTAGTAATTATATTTTATTTTAGCAAGATTTTCACTTTAAAAAAAGGTCATTTGTTTCTAAGAGTTGGCTTATGGATAAATATGGAGTATATGGATACAGATGGCCCAAACTAAGCCGCCAGTATCTCCTCACAAATATATATGCTATAAGTACACTAAGTGTAAGGATTTATTCTTAACTTTTGTCACATTTAACAGTTTTGCCTAATGTAAAAGACCTTATATGTTTGTTTGAGAGGAGACAGACACTTCCTAAGGCAGTTTAAATTCTGAAATGTTTGCTTGTTTGTTTTTAATAATAAGGAACTCATTTCCTTCCATATGGAAAAAGTTTATGAGTTCATCAAGTACACATTAACAGAAATTTCAAAATCTGCTAATATGTTGTCACTTTGATGAATAAATCTTTAGAATTTGGAGGACAAGAAATAAGGGTTCCAGAAGATTTTAAAAAATGTTTATGATTAAATATTTTAATAAACACATATTTTATCTAGTAGGTAATACAGATAATTTAAATAGGCGTTCTGAATGTCTTTTTTAGCTTACCTTTACTATCAGATATGGCTGAAGATTTTAATGAATTGGATGTGTTTATCTCATAATCCTATAACAGATAGGAAAAGCTATCTAAATTTAGTCTTCATATGTAGATCTTGACTCATATTTAAATGCTGGGGTTTTGGGATGTATGTAATATCTAGATTCTCTATGCGAAGTTTACTCTATTTTTAAATACAAACTTACAAAATGAATCAAATACAAGATTCATTTCTTGATTGTTTTTTAGATCTCAATTCTTAGCTGGTTGATAGATAAATGTAATATTGGTCTTACTGTAATACCCAGTTATGCTACAATAACATTCTCATTCTTTTAAAAATGGTTCTCAGAGAACACCAAGGGCCTCCCTCAAGTACCAATATATATTACAGTAGATATTTCAGGCCAGAAGTGAATTTCTTATTTCTTATTATTTTTTTGTATTAAAATGTGCTATCCCAATCCTTCAGCCAGAAATATTATAATAAGAAATGACTTTCTCACTTATTATAGTGTCTCATGGAACTAATAAGAAATGATCTTTATATTCATTTCCATTTAATTTAATATTAGAACCATTGACATTGGACAATCAAAAGACACCATCCGGTTGAGTTCAAAAATTATGATATACTAAACTGATAATTATGTTTTATATCCAAATTGTTAAATTACAGCAGCTTGGTAAATTTTAGAGTACTCAGTGAAACATGTATTTAAAATATATTAAATATATTAGAATATAGCACATTTGTAGAAATACTACAAATAATTTATGTCTGATTTTGACCCTTATTTGCAATATCGCAGGGAAGCTCTCTCTTTCTCTTTTTTCAAATTCTTAGGTTAATATGGGAAATGATTTCTTTAGACCTACAAAGTGAAATATGTTTTAAGCCATCTGAGTTCTTACAATGGATATATATATATAAAGTGTTTTTCTATCGAGACACCTGGTCTACCCCAGCATGTGGGAGGGAGCATACTGCATCCCTTTCGCCTTTCAGCTCCAATCCAGGAGCCCTCAAGCAGTTGCATTCACGACAAATCATTTTATACCAAATTTATATTTCGCTGATAAAGAAATAAAGGGAGGAGAACTTGTGGCTCAGAGGTTAATACAACTGCCTAACATGTAGGCAGCCCAAGTTCGAATCCAAGTAAGGGTATGGCTAGCTGATGAGAGCTAAATAGCTTGAAATAGATCTATACTAGTCTCCCTTTATTTCTTTATCAGCAAAATATAAATTTCGCTGATAATATATATACACGAACCAGTAGTAAAGGTAAGTAGAACCCACCCATATAGTAGATGGGTAGAACCCATATATATATATATATTCACCCAGTAGAACATATATATATGTATGTATGTATGTATGTATGTATGTATGTATGTATGTATGTATATGTATATGTATATGTATATGTATATGTATATATGTGTGTGTGTATATATATATGCATTACTGTTCTAGTCAGGGTTTTTCCTACGTAAATCAAGATGTTTATATAGCCATAGTTAAGTGACATCCCAAATCACTATTTTCTAGGTTTTATCAGACATTTAAGCAGCTTTATGCTGTCTGTTGCAAGACTTAAGGGAGACTAAAATAGATCTATTTCTGACTTATTTGCCTTCATCAGTTAGCCACACCCTCATTTTATGACTCCTCCCTGTAATGGTCAAATATTTATTTTGTTCTTTTTTCGTAGGTCTATATGTGCATTACTGTTATAGCCAGGGTTTTTCCTACATAAATCAAGATGTTTATATAGCCATAGTTAAGTGACATCCCAAATCACTATTTTCTAGGCTTTATCAGACATTTAAGCAGCATTATGCTGTCTGTTGCATGGCTATGCTAATTTCCAAAGAAATAAGATTACCAACCTAATCCAAAAAGAAACCCCTACTAAAATCCAAGACAGAGAACAAGAAAACGGCAAAGTCCTCCTCCCATACATAAAAGGCACCACAGACAAAATCAGCAAGATCCTCCACAAACACAACATCAAGACAGCATTCTGCACAAACCAAAAAATATCCACCATCCTAAGAAACCCCAAAGACAAAATTGAGTTAGAAAATCAAGGAGTATATGAAATCCCATGCACCGCCTGCCCCACCACATACATCGGACAAACCAACAGAAGAATAAGTGCACGCATTGAAGAACACAAGAACTCAGTCAGAAAAGAGGAACCAACTTCTTCCCTGGTCCAATACCTCAAAGCCACAGGACATGATATTGACTTTAAAAAGACCAGAACTATCGCCAAAACTGAACACTTTAACAACAGAATAATCAGAGAAGCCATCGAGATAGTAAAACGTCCACACAGCATGAATAAACAAGATGATACTTCCCGCCTATCAGCCATTTGGAAATCCGCCCTTATTGACAAACGAGTCCCTAACACAAAGAATGACACCAGACCCACACTCATGAGAGCCACACAGGATGTAACCAGCACACATCCACGCAGAAAGCAGACTCAAACCCACACTGATGATGAGGCACGACCCTGGACCAGAAGCCAGACCACAGCTGCATCATTAGCCACTTTAAACCCCTCCAATCCATACATGAAGCAGACTGACACCCACCATGAAGAGGTGGCACGGCCACGAACACGAAGCCAAACAACAGCAACACAGCTCACCAGCTCAAATTCCCCTGCTACTCAGACTAACCCGAGCACAACCAAGCCCCCACCTAAACAGAACACACGCCCATCCAATCAGAGCACAGCCAACCCCCCCATCCAATCAGAGCACAGCCAAACCCCCAACCAATCAGAACACACCTCCGCCCAATCAGAACACAGCCAAGCTCCCATCCAATCAGTTCACACCCCCACTGGCAGTTAAAAGGAAGAAACAGCTGCGATCACACACATTGCTCCTAGAAGCACGAAGCCGAGAACACCAGCCTGAAGATGACGAATGAGACTTCGTTGAAACGTTGCCAAGAAACCTCCAATTTTACACGGGAGAAAACCCAAATAACCAAAGACCTACATATATATATATATATATATCAGCACTGAATAGGGTTTGCACAATTCTAAATCTGCAATATGTATAGAATATGATTAAAGTAGACATTATTTATATGTTCTTTCAGATAAAGAGCTTGGATACACTATTTTAAAAAAACCTAATTCCTAAGATTCTTAAATATTATTAAGTATATTTTTTTGCTATTTAAATGAATGTAATTTATCTAAGAGATATTTAAAATGCTTATTAGTAATTTCAGAACATTTTGAAAAAGCCTGACTGTCAACTTCATTAGTCAATATGCATAAAATGATGGAATGATGATATCTGTTCGGACTAATACCTGTTATTGATTCATATAATTGAAAGTATTATCAAAGTCCCTTGTGTGGTCAAGATTTAATGCAATGTTAAAAAGTGAGATTTTTGTATCCATCAACACTTTTTTTTCTTTTGTATTTATTCCTGTATAATAAAATGAAATATTAAAAAAATTAAAACATGACAGAACATTATCTGAAGACAATGGATTCAGACTTGTTCGTATAGAGTGATGGTAATTATCCGTAGAGAACCACAATTTTATTGGATAACATTCTATGTTTAGAATGCAGGCTTAATCTATTTGGCAAATACTTATTTTAGCAATGGTTTATTATAAATTAAGACTAAGTTTCAATCCAGAACAGCATGTTAGACAGATTCTATTGGAAAATCATTTAATACTACCAATAATATAAAGCTGTGCACAAATATATATTATAAATTAATATGTAATAACATTGCTCTACTTTTAAAAGTGACATTACTAAATATTATATACAACAAATACAGTTAGTAAACATTACATAAAAAGGAAGGATACTGGATTCCATTTAAATGTTCTCTTCTCAAAACAAACAAACAAACCTGTTTATATTGTTGAAAATCAGGTTCTGCAAGAATATTGACATTTAAATACCCCAACCTTGATTCATCCATGAATCTTCATTCTGTTCATAAAGTACAATGTAAGAAATTCATTTGTTGCAAGTGTGTAGATTAAGGAAAAGTATATATCTTTAAAAATGATATGTAATTATCAATAACTGGACATTTTTATCATTCCGATAAACTGCTTTTTTGGTTAATTCATAAAATATCACATTTAAAGATAGTCCACAACTTATGACAAGTTATAATGTACCCCCAAAAAGCTGCTTATGATGAGAATTTAAAGTTCTGACAACTGCCCCATTATTTACATGATTGTGTTTTTGGTGCTCAGCAACCAGCCTGCATTTACGGTTGTTTGCGATGTCCGGTGGGCATATGTCCACAATTTACAATGGGTTTTTTTGCCAGAAACTGGCGTTTACTTTTGGTTTCCACAAAAAAAAATGGTCAATGTGGACAATGGATTTGCTTAACAACCATGACATTCACTTCAGAACCACCATATTTGCTTAACAACTGCTGCCAAAAGGTTACAAAGTTGGGTGTCATCATGTGATAAGCCGCTTAATGACCAGCACAACTTAGAACTAAAATTCCAAGCTCAATTATGGTTGTGAGTTGAGGACTATTTGTAATTATGTCTTATTATTATAATTATGTTAATTTTCTGGTTGTTAGAACTGCATTGTGAGAATTTATTATATGAAATGGAACCATCCTAAAATGCATGGATGGGAGGTCTTAGCTAATTTTAAAAATATTATCTCAAACATTAACAAAAAGTCATTGACATAAATTTACACAGCACTACATCATTATCTAATTACACATCCAACCAAACCTGACACAATCTTTTGTTATATATGGCAGGTAATAAATAAGATTCAATTTCTTAAAATATGAAAATATGTCTGACCATCTGTCGTTGGCAAGCTGTTCCCATGTTGAAGAAACTCACCATTGTTTTGTGGGGAGGGGATACCCAGAATGCACTAAGAACGCATGAGTTAAATCACTTACATCCAGGTAATTAATTGATACTTTTTATAACACCAGAAAAAAATGTTGTGTTGATTGGAAATATAAAATGTAGCTGTAAAGGCTCCTCCTGATTCATACAGTTGAGTTTATTTTTAGTAAAACAGCATAAAATTAAATTCTACAAATGATTAGCCCCACTGTGACCTGAATTATTTCATATTCTTTATTATTTCATCTGCATGTTCTTTGCAGTAATGAGTCTAGAGTGTGACAATATTCAAAAGATTGTTATAGTAAGCAATATTTTGGCAGAAAGTGCAAGATGAAAGGAGAGAGTAAGATCTGGTACATAATCTGTTGAAAAAGAAGACTGAATATCATGGAAAAGACTTTCCAAAGAATTTTTTTTTTTTACATTTACACTGTTTGTATTACATACCCTTTAGTAATTTTGTAAAAGTAGAGATATAAATGAAAATATGTGACTGTTTTAAAGCTGCAATTGAAAAAGATACATAAAAACAATCTCTAGACATATTTCTCAAGACTGTCCACTATTTTTGATAAGATTAGCGAAAAATGAGTAAGAGGAGAGTAAGAGAAACATAAAACTGCATCAAATGTATAGTGAGGAAATGAATAGTTAGCCCTTTCACAATAACATGAACTGCTGGAAGACTCAAAAAAGACAAAATGAACATTACAATATCTGATAGTGAAGAATACCCTAGTTATCTTTATATTTTATTTTATTTATAATATTCTATATATTTGATGAAAGTGAGTGATTGGCTTCTTTCCCATGGAAGACCAAACTCTAAGGCAGACTCAGTTAAGAGATTATGAGCTGAGAGAGGTGCATAGAAATTCAACACTGAGTCACCCCAAACTTAATCAAATGTATTAATCATTTATCACCAATCTATTATACAATGTGTTCAGGTATGAAACTACAGCTTCTGCTACCTTCTTATTTATAAACTGCCATAAAATGGTCTGTTTTGCTATGCTACTAAACCTCAGACTTCAAACTCAATAATACAGGGCTGAAAATCTACAGACTTCCTGTGGGGTTTCAAAAATCTTCTGAAAAGGATTTTTTTAGATTTTTGGGTAACATCATCTCTTTTCCTAATTTCTACTGATTGCAGAAAGACAGGAAGAGGAAAAATACAAGAGGCATTGTTCAGACACTTTTCAATTTGTACTCCATACAACTAAATCAGTTACACTGAAAAAAAGAATTTTAATTTAGTTCTTTTCCTTAGCCAACTATTCTTTGGCTAAGGATGCACACACACACACACATTGTATAATAGTCTAATTTTAAATGGCACAATGTAATTGTCCCTCAGTACATGTATATTTGTATATTCTTAGCGTTGTGTTCATGAAAGATGATTGATTGATTGAATTAATTGAAGTTTATTTGTTATTAATTGGCTGGAAACCATTTCTTGAAAGACATGATGGCAAATATATCATTCAATCCATCAATCATATAAGAAAGGTTCAATTGAAAGGCATAAGAGCACTACATTTTAATTTTGATGTCAGGTTTTATTGTTCACACTATTACCTTATAATTTAACTTTAATGATATTTGCCTGACATCATTTTCCAAACCTATTATACAACAGCTTATATCAATTTACTATATTTCTTTCCTTGCTCAGCAGACTCCTGCTTCACTTTTACATACTTCACATTTTTCAAGAGGGTAGACACCCCCTGACATTTTGAAAAGTTCTGTAAGCTAATTATTTTAGGATCAAAGCCTTTTAATATATGTCCCTTAGAGTTGGGCTAAAACAGAAGTGGATTCTACTTACCTTTACTACCGGTTCGCAATGGGATCGCTACCTCATCCTACAAGGGGCATATTTTCCCTCACAAGATTTTAGAATCTCTGTTCACTGCATATAGATTATTAATGAAAACATTTAGTAGAATACGTTCAAGATGACTAAAAATATTGTGGAAAAGCCAATCATATGTAACTTGTGTGTAGCTCTTAAATCTAATGATTACACCAGAATTCAAATTACTGATTCCCTCAGACATGTCCCAGCAAGATACATCCAGCTTCTACCCTTCTGGCAAAACTTTAATCAGAGCAGAGACTCTAATGGACAATTTTATAGCTTTCTGAACTTTCCAAGGAAAAAAAAATATTCCTGAATATTTCTAAATAAATACAGAACATAAAAGGCACATACAGTCAGGACATCAATGTAGGGTGGGCAAAGAAAAGCAGACTGCGAAACACAGGAATGAACTGCCATGATGCAAAGTCCAGGTTTTTTTTTTATTATTATTTGCATTGTGACATCACATGCATGTATGAAAGAGATGGACCTTGCAACACAATGGTGCCATGATGCTTTGATGAAATCAGCAATGTCCTGTGAATATCCATATATACAATGACAGAAAAAAACAAGACAATGATACTGATATCAGTGGTGATGAATTTCCTCAGCATTCTGTACAAATAGTTCAAATCTACATTCTTTCTTGGTAAATATTGTTTAATGTAGTATTCTTGGTACAATGTCCTGTGCATCAAGTCTACTGTCGCTCTTCTCTTGGCATTTTCCTTTTGCACAGAATCTCCAGTTTTCTTATTTCTGATTCTCTTTCACTGGATTCTGACATCACACTTCACCCCAAATCAAATCTTTGCTGGTTAAATTTACAGCTTCTCATACTTCACACTGATCAATCTGTTAACTCATGTCCCTGGATTCTGTGCCTAAACTTTTCTATCTTTTTCCTTTTCCCTTAGCTCATAAACACTCCTTCTGCCAAGTTTGTTCTTTTCCTCTTTCTCTCAGTTGGCTTGTTTCATCCAAAATTGGGGTCCATGTTTCGGAACTCTTCTTCCTTCCCAGAACGTTCCTTCCTCTGTTCTTGCCTTCCTGATTATGGTCTAGGGCTGAGGCTAGTTAGCAAGCCTAGGAGTCACATCATATCTCTTCGCAAATCCATATAATAATTTCCAAAATCTATTTTCTATATAGTGCAGTTTGGCTTATCAGCTAATAATTTTCTTTACACTAATTCTCCATAATCACTGCAATATTTTTAAAAAACTGTTATTATTCTATGCTTATTAGTATAAGCATCCTGGACATAAATTGTTTCAACTCCTACTCTCAAAACTACACTATAGAGCACTGCACAAGACAACTAGACACAAGAACAGTTTTTTTCTTTTTCTTTTTTTTTATTGAAAAGTTTTATAAGAAATACAAACAATTTTCTCCCCCCCCCACCCTTTCCTCTTCCCCACATAATAGAAATTGTACATTTTCTTATACAAAAGAAAGCATTAAAATAAGACATTTTAATTATATTCGGAGTTGCTCTTCTTCTCTTTCTTTCCTCATTCCACAACAAACCTTCTTCTTCTCCTCCTTTCTTTCCCTTCCCTCCCTCCTCTTCTCTCCTACTTTCTCCTGCCTCCTCTCCCACCTCATCCTACTTCCTTTTCCTTTCCCCCACTTCTCTCTTCTTTTCCCCCTTCTCACCTTCACTCCTGTCCCCTTCCCTTCCCTTCCTCCTCTCCTTTCTTCCATTCCTCACCCTCCCTCTCCTCTTCCTACCCCCTCCTCCTCTCTCCTTTCTAACTTCTTTGCTGTGAAATATTTTCCTCTTTTAGTGTCTGAGCAACTCCTGTATTCTACTCATAGATACTTTCTTCTGCTAAAACTTTCTCTATTCACCACTTTTTCCCCATCCCTTATCCCACCCTCCCCACCCACCCCGACTTCCCAGAGCAAAAACAGGGTATAGCATCTAACAAACATATGCTAAAATAAACTAACTAATTATAAAGTTCAAAACTCCCACATGTTCTTTAACTCCCCTTGCTCCAATTCATCAATCTCCCTTTTATAAATTCTCAAAACCAATTAAATTAAATTCATTCTTCCTACTTATAAAAAAAACCTTTTTCTTAATGTATAATCCGATACTTTAGCAGTCTTTCAAACAGTAAAAATCATGAATAAATTCCATTTCTATACCCTCGAACATCATTCTTTTTAAACATTACTCCCTAGTGAAATTCTGAGTTTAACATTAATCCTCTTTCCTTCAAAGAAAAAAAAAAAGAAAAATTTTTCATCTTAAAATCTTACACATTTTATCTCATATATCTTTTAAAATAATATAGTCTTATGTTAATCATTTTAAAAATCTCTTAATACCTTTAAAACACTTATTTACCAAATATAAATTTCAAAATCTACAGGAGGATGTCTTTCAAATTTTCAATTAACCGTCTTAATACCTCTAACTTTTTAGAGAGCAGCCCTTTTACTATCCAAAACTAATTATCATTTTGCAATAAAATTCTGAATTTAACATTAATCCTCTTCGCTTCAAAAGGTTAGGCATCTTAAAAGCTTATACAATTTATTTCATATATCTTTTAAAATAATATAATCTTATGTTAAACATTTTTAAAAATCTCTTAATACCATTAAAACACATATTTGCCCGATGCCAATTTCAAAATCCACAGGAAGATATCTTTCTTAATCTTCTGTTCTTCTCTTCTTTCTATATTTTTTCCAATCCTTTTTTTTTATAAATTCTTTCAACAGTCCCCCCAATTTTATTTTTGAAACTTTTAAAATGGTGATTTGAGGTTGATGTTTCTGAAATACTTGCTCTCTTCTTGAGGTCGCATTTTCTAACTTGAAATCCCCATTCCGTCTCTTCTTGCTTGTACAATCATTCAGTCCTTTTCTTTGTCCATATAGCCAGAATTTGTTGCCATAAAGATTGTCAACTTGCAATAAAGAGACTATTTGTTGCTTTTCTGTCAATTGAATGGAAACGTCCAGCAAAACCTTTGTTTCAACTGTGCCAGCCTGTCTTTTAATCCTGACCATCTCTTGATCTTCCAAAAACAAATTCCTCTGAATAATTTCCTGCTGTCCCTCTAACAACTGCTTATATTTTCCCAAGCTGTTTTTTGAAAAAGCCCTTTCAATTGTATCCAACAAGGCAGAAGTAAAAGAGTCTAGAAGTTCTTGAAAAGCCTGAGCAGTCACGGCTTGAGAATTTGCTGATTCACCAGCCCTATTGTCAGCCATATTTCAGCCACTTTGTATTCATCCAGCTATCAGGACAACAATTCAACTCTTTTCCATACAGTATAAAAACAAGATTTTAGTTAAAGTCAGTACCAAATTCTTTCCCTCAATACCAAATTCTTTTCCTGGCCGCTTCCACTTTAAAACTTTCTCTTAAGGTGTAATCCAGTAGCTGTATCACTGTTGCAAACGTTAAAAAGCCTTAACAAGCACTTTCCCTAGTAGTTTCCTCCTCCCGCCCTCAGGCGCCATTTTCTGCATTTTAAAACGAAGTTAAAGTGTTACTTGCAAGTTTTCCTTTTTGTTTTCTCCTGATTTGCTCTGTCTGCAATCAAAGTAAAGATGTTAAAAGTCCCCCTGTTGATTTTCAGCAGATTTTGGTCGCGGCTTTTAGCTCCACTTTGGCGGAGTCATCCCTAGTCCGGAGCAGCTTGACAGGCTTCAATAGGGAGCCCACACCCTTTGCGCCCCAGGATTTCTCCTAGCGCACTTGGGGGGCTCTACCTCCGCCTGTCGACTCTTCTCTCTCCCCTTTGCCCGGGGAGAGAGGTCCAAGCCTCCAGACAGCTGTTTTTCGGCTGTTCTGGGACTTTTACGGAACCGGGGATCGGGCGCTCGTAAAAGAGCATCTTCAAAGCTTGCGGAGCCAACAGGAAGTCCAAGAACAGTTTTTTTCTGAACACCAACACTCTGCTAAACAAATAATTCCCTCAACACCGTCAAACTATTCACTAAGACTGCATTACTATTACTATTAGTCTTCTTACCGTTACTATCACCCCTCTCCTCCCACTATGACTGCATGACTATAATTTTGTTGCTTGTAGCCTTATGATTTATATTGATATTGATTGTTTCCTGATTGCTAATTTGTACCCTATGGCTATCATTAAGTGTTGTACCTTATGATTCTTGGCGAATGTATCTTGTCCTTTTATGTACACTGAGAGCATCTGCACCAAAAACAAATTCCTTGTGTGTCCAATCACACTTGGCCAATAAAGAATTCTATTCTATTCTATTCTATTCTATTCTATTCTATTCTATTCTATTCTATTCTATTCTATTCTATTCTATTCTATTCTACAGTATCCCTAAACAATTCTGTTTACAAAAATTTTAAAACTATCTACAAAATTGCTAAGAATTCATAAAGTGCCACAAAAGTTTTATTTAAAAGTTTGGACATCTCAAAAATATTTCAAGCATTTCAAAATGGTATGGATATATGGTTACATATTAAATATTACTGCAATCATTCAATGAAATGTTAGATGTATTATGTTTGAAGAGCTGAAGTGCGAACTAGAGCTTTTGTAAGATTTTATCTTCTAATATGCTCTTTGTGTATATAGCTAGCATTTGATTATGCCTGCAGTCTTTTAATACATTTCCAATATGTTTTAAACCAACAGAGGCTACAGAAATATATACTTCTGTAAGCATTTATTTTATTACCCAATAGCATAAATTAATGCTGATAAACCACAATGTTACAAGCAAGAAATTTCAATCCAATGGGAAACTGATGTAATCTTAGCAAAACCACAGCCAGCAGCCTTTGTATCCCTAGTGGATTTAGTTGAACAATGAGTAAATCTCTCCAAGTGAATGCCATTTATAATCCTGCCATGATGCCTGTAAAAAAATTAAGTCAAAAATGTTTAAATTATGTAATATACAAAACATAAAGTTTTGATCTTGTTGGTCTATCCTACTATGTTTGAGGAACTTATCTGTAAAAATATAGGTGGCATTATTTTGATCAGATTTTGGTACTTTCACAACTCTATTATTCTATCACATTTGTATAAAGATTGGTCATTTAAATTATTTAAATGAGCTTGAAATATTGATGGATTGAATTGATTATAGAATTTATAATTGAAAAATAAATCAATGTGCAACTCTTGTACCTGAATCAGATTGTTAACACACTAAATCTCTGGTCCCAGTGACCGACTCAAATTGGATCCTGCATCATGATCCTGGGAAACATATATTTGCCTTCATTTGTGAGGTGATATATTTATCTTAATGTGGAGTCATCATATATATCATATATGTATTTTATTATAGTATTTTCTTTTACATATTTTCTCTTGGAAATAGGCCTATTTCTACATCTATAATTTTTCCAATACTAAAAGTCTTGAATATATACCATTTATTGCGTGTATATTGTAATATACAGCCATCCACTTCTAATATACAGCCATCTGCTGTAGGCTTTTTAAAAGAATTGGCCAAGCTTGTATAATGATCTTTTAAAACTAAAAATTTCAACAGTAATATCAGGAAGTGTGGGGATTGCTCTGATTTTGATATAATTATTTAACAAATACTATACTTTACTAATAATCTTACTGACGATATTTGCTTAGGGGCTGGCTAAAATGTTTGAAATGTTAC